TACAGCTACTATGTCATCATAATATGTCACATAAGCATCACGTGATAGTTACGTAAACGGTCGTCGAAAAAGTTGGCTGAAAAATTTAGCTTTAGGCCTATTTGTCTCATCGTGCAAGTTTAAATATTTTGTTGTTATTGAAAATAATTTTAATACTAATCTTATCATTGGGCAATACAAATATCGTAATTTAGCCTATTTTTAAATTTATCTCAAAATGAGGATAGTTGCAGGCACGGGCATGACACTTGTTGTAGTTGGAGGAACACGCGCCTCCAACTACTAAGATCGAGCACACCTAATAGAGAGCTTGGTATTTGGTGAAGGATCATTGTTTAGATCATACCTTAAATTTAATCATGCAAGAAGAACGACAAAGAAGCCTACTACTCGTTCCAACCAGCCAGAGATAATAAATTCACCTTGCTTCCAGAACGAACTTATATTTGGAGCAGCAACAGCAGCAAGTAAACTGGCTTCTACGCGTGATACTTCCTACGTAATGAAAATAACATATGCTATTCTACCTTTGGACTCGACTAATGGGGTTGAGTTCTATAATAAAATTTCATGTACGGATAATACTTTGTTTCTACTGTTTCGTCCTAAGACCTTTACATTGACTTTCTTCAATGGAGACGCCTTTCCGTATTTGTTGCTCGACGTAATAATATGTTTGAGATATAGACAGAAAACAACAGCTTTAGTAAAATAATAAAAGAAAGAAAGAGGTGGTCATAATTCATTAAGATATAGAAGAATCATAAGTTGGATTGTGTCCACCTCCTCGTAATCCAAAAAGATAGTCCGAGACGGTAGAGTTCTTTAATCAGAACAATGAACACAATCCATAAAAATACCATTACTTCTGCGCCATGATAACCTCTGGTCATCAAACTCTTATTATTTTCTCTGTTATGCTATCATAATCAGTAATAACGTATAGAGTACCTGCAGAGTACAGAGAAATTACCCTTCAATTGGTCCCATACATGCTGCTGACTAATCAAACGCAGTAGTTTGCATGACAAATTACGTTGCTTACAAGCTAATCTAAACCTTCAGGAACCATTTAGGAACATTCTTTTGTTTGATTAAAGCCTAAACCAGCTATCATAGAGATCTTAATCAAAAATGTCCCTTCAACTACAACGCCAAAGATGAAAGTTACTGCAAGCATACGGGTAGGGATTTCTAGTATATAAGGCTTGCAGGTTCCATCAAGCTTCTCAACTCGCCTTGAATTCATTCTTCTCTTCAACATAATGCCTTCTCTTGATCGAAAACTCGTCGCTAGAGATCAATTCAGTTTCAGCTGCAGCTCACTACCCAGAACAGAATCGGCAGAAGAATTTGGGCTTTCTTTCGGAGAATGGACTGAATCATTAAGGAATCAGTCGTCGTCTCTTCAAGAGTTATCTCCTGCGTCACGAGCACAAGCCATTGCCAGCTACAAGAAAGAGATGCTGGAATTTGTAAAAGACGCGCCGGAGAATGTATATGATCTCTCACTGACGGATTTAGTGGAGCTGAAAGAATCTCCTGTGAAAGAGAGACTGCAGTTGAATAAACCGAGAACTGGGAAAAGACATTTCAGAAGTGAGAGTGTAGAAAGTGGGGGATTCCTTTTGAAGATTTTCTTTCCTATACCCTCTTCAAGGAGGAAGAGAAGCACTGGGAGCTTCAATGGCGGTTTGAAGTATAGTAGTAGATCAAGCTCCAGTGGGAGTTCAAGCTCTGATAGTGGCTCAAGCGCCACAAATGGAACTGTTAAGTTGGGTAGTGGCTCAAAAGTTTCGATGAAGGATGGAAAAAAGACCAGCTGTGAAGAGAACTCGGCGAAGGAATATGTGAGGATGCAGCAACATCGTGAACTTAGCAGAAACTGTAGCAGGTAGATGAACGTCCTAAATATTTTCCTCTAATATGGTTTAAATTAACTTCGATATAACAGTTGAATAACATATAAAGAAGTAATAACTAAATTCCTACAAGACTAATCGTGACGTCATACTTAAGTGTTTCACATTAAAAAGAAAAAGGTGCAACTTCTTTTCGTAATTGTATACACTGATAGGTAATTCTGTGAAGCAAGCTACTTTTTTGCAATATGATGCATTCATTTCATTGAATAAGTAAAAACCAATTTCACACTCTCCTCAGCTCAACTGTACATCTAATTTTTGTAGTTACTCATGAAATAAAAGTTCTCATTTCATAAAAAAAACTACGCTCTGAACCATATAGACACTGAAGCTTTACGCAGTTCGATATGAAAAATTTAGAGTTGATCAATTAAGATCTGCAAAAAATATCAGACACATTAACATAATCACACTATTTAAAGGAAGAAAACCTGTAAGCAACAGGATGGTTTTAGTCCTATAAAGTAAATAAAGATCCATATAAAGTTAAGCAGAAAAAACAATTACCATAGAGTTTTTAAGTGTGTTTTTCTCTTCCAGGCATCAGAGTGGCTGTTCTTTCTTCTTCCTCAACCAAAACAAAATCAGAACCAAGAAGACCATATTCTGAGAATATTCCTGTGATGATGATTCAGATTATCATTTTCTTTTAGTTTAAATTAGCAAGTGGGTTGCCTCGGATTGATTGTATAGATGAAAGCTTCATTGACGACAATATAAGAACAGAACCTGTAGCTGAAAAAACAAATTGTCTTATGATGGAACATACTTTGCTGCTTACGTAAAGTTACAAACATACAACCAACCAAAGTGATATTTTAAATTCTCTGGTGATCAGAATATCAAATAGACTATTAGCTGACACATACTTGATGGATGTCCTTAAGCTTATTATAGAGGGTTACGCTAGTGATATAGGTATGTTCAAATTGCAAAAACATTTACTATAGAACCATGCAAACAATTAGCACAGTTGAAGAAGAAAGAAAGAAAAAGAAAAGAAAATGAGAGAGCAATACTTGATATAAGGAGTTTCATTGAAACGTTCAGCATGGTAGCATGCATTCAGCTGCAGGTGTAGCTGAAGTACAAGTGATAAATTGGTGGTATAGCAAGCTATAAATATATCAGAGATATACGACTATTTGCACGATCAACCAATTAAATCTTAAAGGTAAACAAAAGATCAACTGAAACAAAAAAGAGAAATCTGTAAAATCCACATCTCTCACAATTTCATAAAACTATATGACAGTTGCATCGCATATTTTTACAAGTAAAGTGATTTTGTTTGTCAGCTTACAATCTCCAAGAACTTAAAGCATCTAAGTTTGAAGCTACCTGTGCTATTTTCCATCCGATTCTGCTCATTTTGTATTCTCAACTTCTAACGGAGGTCACCAGTGACATGTATAACTGAACAGATCCCAAGGGAGTCGAATTTAGAAAGAGGCAACAGGCTATCTTCAGCATTAGCATACCAGTTCAATAATGACCCCAAAGAGGATTCACATATCTGTAATGTACAATTTGTCATCATATTCACTATGTGTCAGATATCATCTCCAATATCTTTCATGGAAACACCTCTTGTTTTTGCCCTGGAAAAAAATATCAAGAATCTAGGAAGTTCTAAAAATAGGTAGTGAATATGCTTGCAAAATCATGAAAAGGTTACCTTCTAGATAATGAGGCCACCTTCTGACTGGCTTTTGTAGGCTGACTATCTTTAGATGGTTGCTCCACAATAGTAGCGTAGTTAACTGGAAATTATACAGTAACAAAATGAATCACGGGTACTTTGTTTTTGGTATCACTTGTGTTTGAATATTTTTGATGGAGCTCCTTTTTTCATGGAGCTGGAGGTTTTTGGAGGTTTTCTAATTTGACAAGGTTTGTTGAGCTGTCTAGTGATTTGTAAATAGCAAAGTTTTGTTTTGCTATGAGAGGTATCTTATATAATATGGAGTTTGAACAAAAGCCTATTTGGTAACGTAAATATCTAAGTTTCATGCCAAAAAAATAAAAATAAAAATAAAAAGGATCACAAGTTAGTGAAGATAGACGTTAGACGTAAATGGGAATGAAATAAAGTAAAAACATCAATTGTAAGATGTTCAGAGCTAGAAGTTTTCCATAAGAAGTAGACTAGATCAGCATAAGCGATAATACCTTTAACCAATGCTGAATCAAAATTGTCACAAGTTAACTATAAAAAAAGAAGTAATAAGGCAATAGAGTGCAGAATGATTCTCATTCAATTTAAAATAAGTAATTTTAAAGATAAGAGAATATCACTCTGAACCTTATTCTTTAACCTGTCAATTTCATCATTTTTAGTTGGTTACTAGGTTTACCATTTACATTTCGCTAACCATCATATTTGCTGGATGTGTTGATTGGATTTGAATAAATAAGGCCCCCCAGAACTTTGGGGCGCTTCAGATAAAATCCCTTAAAAAGCAAGGAGAAGATGAACCCTGGGGGAAACAAGTAACAGGGATTGCCAGATAATAAGGTCCTCTAATTGCAGGAGACACTTTTTTGGGAGGTGTTGTGGGAAAAGTAAAAGTTGTAGGGGTTTATTTAAGACCTTTTAGAATTGTGGGGATTCCGTGGAAGAAGTTTCGGCTCATGGGGTGGGATGCGGTGGGGTTTGTGTGAAACGTCCCAAAGTTTCTGGGTTTTTTTGTGAAATTTACCCAATAAATAACTTTGAAGATGGGTTTTTGCTCAATTAAACTAAAATAGCATATGTTATTGTACTTCTAGACTTATAAATTGGGTTCTGTTCTATATTGAAATTTCATGTACGGATAATACCTTGCTTCTACAATTTTGTCCTAAGACATCATTGACCATTTTTTTTGGGCTGGTGACGCCTTTACGTCTTGGTTGCTGAACTTGATATCATCTTAAGACAGAAAACAACAGTTTCCATAAAAATAATTTAAAAGAAAGAGAGGTTCAATGACACAAATCATTAAGATAGAAAAATTATCAACTGCGTTATGTCCACCTCCTCATAATCCAGAAGGATAGTCCAACGTTGAACACAGTCCTACTGATAGTTCATCCATCAAAATAACAGTAGATTTGCAGCATGATAAATTTTGGTCATTGAAACCTCTCTAATTATTTCCTCTGTTAGGTTATCATCATCAGTAATAGAGAACTTAGAGTGAGACAACTGGAACAATTAGACTACGACCTTAGCATTCAACTGGTCCAAGATATGGTGCTGACAATCAATATCATAATTTGCATTACAAATTACGTTGCTTACAAGGTAATCTAAGACCTCAGCAACCATTTAGGAACATTCATTTGTTTGATTAAAGCCCAAACTTGCATTTAAGACACAGATCTTAATCATAAATGTCCCTTCATATAGCACTAGCAATAAGACAAGACAACCTACTAACAACAAAGAAGCTGCTGAAAACATACAGGTAGGAATTTTAAGTTATGTTCCTTCCAGTTTTTTAACTCACCTTCAGTTTAACTGTAACGCCCCGCCCGGGAATCCCGGAGTCGGTACGCTATTGATCTGATGGACTGGCCTCACAAACCACCACATGTCTTTTCAGCACGTTTTGTCCTCACTCACGTGCTCCCTGGAAAACTTCCCAGGGGGTCACCCATCCTAGAATTTCTCCAGACCAAGCACGCTTAACTTTGGAGTTTCTAAGAGTTGGGTTCCCGAAAAGAAGATGCATCTTGGTGGTATGAGTATTCCAATCAAATCTATCAATACTAATCACATCACCCTCTCAAGGGTTGGGGTATTACAAACTCCCCCACTTAAACTCACAACGTCCTCGTTGTGCCAAATCATATCATCCAAGACCGTACCATCCGTGTGAGATTCTAGAGGTGGCTCCTACGGCCTCAAGAGGTGGCTCCCGCCCTCTCGACGTAGCACTTTGCGCCGTATAGCACTTAGCTCTCACAATTCCGGTTGGCTTTGCTCTGATACCATTTGTAACGCCCCGCCCGGGAATCCCGGAGTCGGTACGCTATTGATCTGATGGACTGGCCTCACAAACCACCACATGTCTTTTCAGCACGTTTTGTCCTCACTCACGTGCTCCCTGGAAAACTTCCCAGGGGGTCACCCATCCTAGAATTTCTCCAGACCAAGCACGCTTAACTTTGGAGTTTCTAAGAGTTGGGTTCCCGAAAAGAAGATGCATCTTGGTGGTATGAGTATTCCAATCAAATCTATCAATACTAATCACATCACCCTCTCAAGGGTTGGGGTATTACATTAACCTTCTCTTTTGCTCTCCTCTCCCCAGAAAATGTCCTCCCTTGATCGAAAACTTGTCGCCAGAGATCAGTTCAGATTCAGCTGCACCTCACTATCCAGAACGGAAGTTACCGACGAATTTGGGCTTCCTATCGGAGAATGGACCGGATCATTGAGGAATCAGTCGTCGTCTCTTCAACAGTTATCACCTACATCACGAGCACAAACCATCGCCAGATACAAGAGAGAGATGCTGGAATTAGTAAAAGACATGCCAGACAATGCTTATGAGCTCTTATTGAAGGATTTAGCGTTGCTGAACAAATGCCCTGTGAAAAAGAGATTCCCGATGAATAAACCAAGAACTGGGAAGAGGCATTCGAGAAGTGAAAGTGTAGAGAGTGGGGGGTTACTTTTGAAGATTTTCTTTCCATTACCTTCATCAAGGAGAAAAAGAAGCAGTGGAAGCTCCAATGGGGTTTGAAGCCTAGTAGTCGGCCAAGCTCAAGTGGGAGTTCAAGCACTGAAAGTGGTTCAAACTTCGTTAATGAGACCACAAAATCAGACAGTGGCTCCAGAGTGTTGCTGAAGCATCTGACGTAGGATGGAAGAAAGAACACGGAGGATGAATGCATGAGGACGCAGCAGCACAGAGAACTGAGCAGAAACTGCAGCAGGTATGATAAATAATTTTGTAATATTTTCCTTTAAAAAATGTTAACATATAACACTACAGTACAAAATCAAAAGACTGATCATAATATCATATTTTTCGCATCCGATGCAGCTTCACATAATTGTTTATAATAGCTAATATGATTCCATAAAGCAAGTTATTGCTCTATAATGTGACAATTATTTCTTCAAATAAGTAAAACCAATTTCACATTTTCTCCTTAGCCCTAAGCCTCTAATTGTTTCATTAGTTCTTCAGTTATCCATGAAATAAACTTTCTTATTTCATATAGAAAAGAAAACTTCAGTTATAACACCAAATGAAGAAAGGCAAACTTTACCTAGGCAGCGATCATCATTTGTTGGTGCTCGTCGGTGGTTGCTTATGCAGGGAGGCCTAGGGTGCCGAAAGGTGGCCAACAAAGACCAAGGAAGAAAAAGAAAAGGAGAAATAATTAAGGAGTCATTAACCTTAATAACTCCTAACTGGCTTAATATAGTTTTAGTTTTTTGAGATTAGAGTTCCTGACTGCGGTATACCTAAAGTAAATTATGACATAACTAGGAGGGTGAATAGCCCCATATAAACTCAAAATAGAGGTGAGGCCTGGCATCCCAATGACTCACCTTTTTAATCTTTGACTGGCATATCACAGAAAGTAAGGTACAGAGTTGACTTGATCACCTACTAAGGTGTTGCACTTTTAAAATGGTGAGAGTTGATCAATCAAAGTTTGCAAAAGCTAATAAAAAAAGTCACTGTGTAAAATTGTAAATGGGGGGAAACCCAGCATGCAGAATCAAGTAGGATAGTTCTAGTCCTCTTGAAATAAATAAGATCAATACATAGTTAACCAGATAAAACAATTAACCATACAGTTCCTGAATGTATTTTCATCTCCCAGACACCAGAGTGGTTGTTATCTCTTCTTCCCCAACCAAAACAAAAGCAGAACCAAGAAGACCATGTTCTGAGAATATTCCTGCAGTGATCTTTGGATGAAGTCCTGGAACATCAAAGAATGTTACGAGATGATAATTGTAGAATCAATTCTTGTAAAAAATTTCTTTTATTTTTTCCCCCTCCTCGTGTTTCTTCTTGTTTCTTTTCTTAGTCATTGATAACGGTTCAGTTGTAGCTTTTCTTTTAGTTTAAATAAAACAAGTGGATTGTCTCTGACTGATTGCACAGCTTCATTGATGACAATATAAGAACAGAACCTGTAGCTAAATGAACGAGTTGTCGTATGATGGAAACAGACTTTTACTACTTATACAAAGTTATAAACACACAGCCGATGAAATGCTATATATTGAATTCTCTGGTGATCACATCATCAAATAGACAATTAGTAGACACATGGATACCCTTAATGTTATTACAGAAGTTTTACTATTGGTATGCGCATATATTCGATTTACAAAAACAGTCACAATAGATTCATAGAGACAGTGAGCACATCTGAAGAAGAAAGAAAAGAAAAAGATGAGAGAACAAATACCTGATGAAGGAAGTTCCATCCAAACACTCAGGTTGGCAGCATTCATTCAGCTGCGGATTAGCTGAAGTATACAAGTTATAAATAGAATGAAGCTGTAAATATATTATGACTGTTTGCTCATTGAAGGAACCAGATAAATTTAAGGTAAACAAAAGATCAACTGAAACAAAAACATTTCGAATTTGCATTTTTCACAATGTTGTAAGAAAAAAAATATCACAATTACAAGTCATGTTTATACAAGTGCATTGACTTTATATACAGCATACAATCTCCAACAACCTACAGTGTCTAATTCTAAAGCTATCCATGTTATCTCCAATCTGATTCTTCTCATTTTGCATTTCTCCCTTCTAATTGAAGTCACTAACGACTCTTGTATAACTGAATAGATTCCAAGGAGAGAAATTTACAAAGAGGCAATAGACTTTCTTCAGCTTAAACTCTGATAATAATGACAAACAGGGTTCTTATAGCTGTTATGTATTAGCTACCATCAAATTTGTTGTGTATCAGTCATCATCATCTTCAACATCTTTCAAGGAAACACCTCTTGTTCTCGCCCTGTAGAAGAATGAGATGACAATTATGGAATCTAGGAAATGGTCAAAAAGGGGTAGTAATATCTACTAATATGCCAGAAAATATCATGCAAAGGTTACCTTCTAGATGTTGGGGCCACCTTCTGACTAGCTTTTGCGGGTTGAGTATCATTAGAAGGTTTCTCCCCATCAGCAGGGTTAGCTGAAATTATACAGTAACAAAATTGATTACAAGTAGTTAAATGGAAATAAATACTAGACGTAAATGAGAATGACAAAAGTAAAATTATTACAATAATAAAATAGATTACACCAAACATAAGACGTTTTGGGGGTGTTTGGCCAACTGAAAGTGTGAAGGTCATTTTTTACAAGTGTGACAGTGTATGCACATCAGCATGCAAGTGAAATATAGTATTTCATTGCACAAATAAATTATTGTTGAAACTAAGAAAGTAAAGGTGATATGGCAATATCATTTGATTTATTTATTTAATATCATATTAGGCTTTTAATTATTATATGCTAACTATCAAAGAATGAACCAAAAGTGAAACATACATGCTACTTAAAATTACTCATTAACTGGAACAAGAAAATAAGCTCTTGTCACAAATATTTACTTACAAAATCATTCATTACTCATTCTACTAGCCGCCCTAAATTTCGCTACACAAATTAATTGATCTTAATCTAAAAAACCTACTGTTATGGTGCAAATTTCATTTATGGAGGGAGTGTACGGTGAAGTGATGAGCAGAGCAAAAAATAGCGAGGAAATAAAAAGAGGGCAGATTAGATATTCAGTGGTGGGATAAAAACGTGGGAGGAAACAAATATGCAAGAGGCTTTTGAGGCAGTGCTGTACTGAGGAGAACAGAAAATATATAGATCAATAAAAACTAAGTATGCTAGATAAAAGTGGTCTGACTTTTACAGTTTCGCGGTGACTTCAGCAGATATTTTAGGGGAAGTTGAATGTGCGTCATATCTAACAAGGACGATCTTTTGCAGTTCACTTTGAACAAACATGTGAAGTGTTGAAAGTGTGTCGTTCTCCCATTTTCATTTTTAACTTTCAAGTAAACAAACACCATTTAGTGCTAGAAATTTTCCACAGTAAGTAGACTACATCAGCATAAGCGATAATAAATTACACAATGCTGAGTATAACTGTTATGAGTTAAACTATAAAAGGGAAGTTACAATCCATACTTATGATTTTGTCTTTTCAATTTAAAATATATAATTTGAAGATAGAAATATGGCTCCTAATCTTATTCTTAAGTGATCAATTCCATCATTTTAGCTCCTAGTTTACATATGGTTAATTTTCTATTGTGTTGGTTATTGACTGGACTTAATATTTTTTCTTAAATTTTAATCCTATTTTTAAGATAACACAATGATAGGTTAATAATCTACTTCGATTAGTTGTTAACTTGTTATTAGTTAGTTGAGATTCATGCTGCCATTAGACTTGATGAAAGAAAATGATTTAATCAAAATTATAAGAGATGCTGTGTTGATTAAGATTCAAATTTTATGAGATTGGTGTAATCCTTCTCAAGATGTCTACTATTTTGGTTTTATCCATTGAAAGATATTTTGGTCCTAGACCCATCACTTCCAAAACATGAGTTTCTATTGTAAGCCTCAATAAGATTTGATGGTTGTTCCTTTCTTGAATTTGTGGTTGCTAGGATGATCTGACTTTGGAATTTGATTGCCACTGTACAAGGTTAACACTAAAGCTACTTCTTTCCTGTAAAAACGAAGGAAAGAAAAAAAAATGCATGCCATAATACAGCAGTAAAACATAGTTGCAAGGAAAGTAGCCACCTATGGATGGTTGGGTCTCAGAAACACTTGAAGGTAGTTGTGTCTCTGAAACTGTTACTGTATTGTTGTTGGTTGCACTGTCTGGAACAAATGATGACTTGTCTGATGCCTTTGACTTGTGTGCCTTCCGCTTTTTCACAAATGAAAGATTATCAAGCTGCTTCTGTAAACTTTCATTCCTTTCCTGGAGGAAACAGACTTCCAATAGTTACACAAAATGAAAATTGAACTTCTCTAATCTAACTGGAAATAGTATTTAACTTATTTGCCATATCACCTTGATATAAGAGAGGTACAAGATGAAGACAATTTGCCTCAATACTATACAATCATGTAAGATAATTATAAGTAATCAAAGAAAAGAAGAGGAGGTTTAAGAAACAACAACATAACATAAAGGATAAGATTACAAAATAAAAAATAAGATTAAAAAAAGAGAGACAAAAGTCACAAAACAGCTGAGGAAGCTAGAGCTCCAATACGAGATTGGTGCAGTCTTGTACTCCAGAATACAAGTAAAGGGAATTCAAAGTTGCTTGACAGTTGCTCGAACCAATAGAAGGAGAAAAATGGAAAAAGGGAAGAAAGAAGGGTTACAAGACCAACAATGTTGTTATGCATAACTGAGAAGGAAAAGAAACTAGTAGGGAGAATCCAATGTTTAAAAAAAGTAAAGACAAAAAAATCGTTTAGATAAGCGTTATAACCTGTTTTGACACCTAATGGAGCCAGAGTGTTATAAAAGTTAGATAGAAAACGCAAGCTACATTTAACACAGAAAATAACACCAAAAAACATGTTTTATCTATGTAAGATTAAGCGTTATCTAACGTTTGTTAAATTGAGTTAAAGTGGTATTGGATTTTGACACATGGCAATATCTCCACCATCCAAATCAGCATCGCCTTCTACCTCTCACGCCTTCGACAAATGCAAAGTCTTTCGCCAACGACAAGGCTCCTCTCCAGTTCCTCCTCAGCTCCCCAATTTTCTCTCACCGACGAAGAAAACCCTAACCCCATCTCCATCTCCAGCGCCTCTCTAGCTTCTAAACCTTAGCTCCTCTTGACGAAGGCTTCTAAACCCGGACTCCTTTAATTCTTACGGTCCTCCTACTTGTTGAAATTTTTAATGATTCTAATTACTAAAGTGATTATGAGAAGTTTGTATTTATATAATACCTAACCAACTAATTAAAAATAACATGCGTTATGCATTACGCTTTTTGTAGTGCTCCATTAATCCTTAACAAGAGATAGAGCGTAGCGCATTACATTATGCGTTATCATTATTTTCAACATTAGAAGAATCTTAGAAGGAGAGGAACGAAATAAAAAAAACTTCATTCAAAAAAAAATTGAAATCATCATTCATCATTGGATTTAGCCTTTGAATAGACTATGAAGCATAAGGCTCTTGGTATCCTATAACTCCCTCAAGCTAAGTAACATTTACACATATACATTTGAGGTGGCTGCTCATTTAGCAAAATGAGCTACCAAGATATAGAGCTGCGACTCACACCTTTTGATGTGACAAGTAAGGTGGGTATCATCGCATGATTATATCTTGATAACTCATTTAGTAAACTGAGCCGTCACCTCATACTCATTTTTTATACACACACAAATATAGGTGAGCTATTGGAACCATATGTCCTGTGATTTGCTAGGCTTGTATGGAGTTTTAAAAAGAAAGTTTAAAATAGTTGGTCCATGTGTAGAGTCTAAAATAGTTGGTCCCTACGTAGCTGGACTTGTATTGTATTTTAAAAAGAAAGTTTCCAAACTGAAAATGATGAGCACTTATGTGTAAAAACTATTCTCAAGTCATTACCATCTGTGCAATTGTGAAACCCAAAATCTAAACCGTCCCAGTCTCTCTTCCATCTTCTTCGAATCAATCAAAAAAATTTGTGCGAACCTAAGCCTATCATCTCCTTAATCTCTCTTCCATCTTCTTCGAATCAATCAAAAGTAGCAAATTAATTGTGAAAATCCCCATGGTTGCACATATTCTTAACAAAATACAAGATAATAAAGAAGGAATAAGAAGTTAATGATTCTCCTTGATGATGTGTAGAGTGCAACAAAACAAAAGAGAAATTTGTCGCTGACCAGGCTTCTTGAGGAAACAAGCTAACCCATCTTATTTAAATCGAACTCAATCAAGAAATCTTCTTTGCCTCCATTTTTAGTCTAATCTTTAGCTTAAATTGAAGAAACCTATTGTTAAACTCTTGTAAAATGGTTCTATTTTTTTCTCTCAGGCGTCTTTCTTCCTCAAGCCTACTTCCAACCCGCAACAACTTCGCTCTCTTGTACAAACCACCAAATTTTCAACGCCTACCAATGTGATAAAATCCAATGTGTAAATTTAAGAAATTTAATCCACCCAACCTTCACCTACAATTCATTTTCATCTTATTAATATCTCAAGTTCACAATGAACTTACTAGCATCAATTGCGGATTCTCAATTTTATAACAAACTTAAAAAGCCCATATCTCTGTAGAGAGGTCAAGATCGAGAGGAAGAGAGCAGGTTTGTGCGTTTCTTCAACTTCGGAAGGAAAAAAACTCAAATATGATAAGGGCTCATAGGTAGGGGGTTCATGGGTTTGTGGTTTCTTTGATATCGAGATCCAATGGTCATATAGGTTCTACTTCTCTTCAATGCCTGAGAAGAGAATGAGATTTTGAACATCGAAGGGGAATGAGAGAACGAGTTCAAGATCAGAATTAGGACCAGGATTATGGAACTTTTTTGTACACAAGTCCTTTTCATTTTTATGATTCAAATACAAAATAAATTATCTCCGAAAATATCCTAAAAGCCCCACAACTTTGTGCAATGAATCATAGGACATATGGCACTAGCGCTGGAAATTTCCTACGCTAGCAGCTCACCTAACGTTACGTTTTCTCACATATGGTGTATATGTGTTATAATATATATATATATTATTATTATATATATATATATTATATATATTGTAATTCAAAGGGAAATAAGGGAAAAGAAGAGTTAATTTTCTCTTCTCTATTCAATTATATTTATAATAGGAGTCTTTACATAATTATTACATAACCAATATGACTAAATACTAATTAACTCTCTCAACACTCCCCCTCAAGCTGGAGCATATACATTGTACATGCCCAGCTTGTCACAAATAAAATTCACTCGTGTTTTTCCAAGGTTTAGTGCAAAATATCTGAAAGCTGATTCTCAAACGATACATGCTTACCCAAAATAATTCCTCCATCCATCTTCTCACGAACTAGATGACAATCAACCTCAATATGTTTGCTCTTCTCATGGAACACAAGATTCTCAGCAATATGTATAGCGGACTTATTATATCAACATATAATCTTATAGGGCATTCAGGAAGAAAACCAATTTCTATTAAAAGGTCTCTAATCCAAACTAACTCACAAGTCACATTTGCCATTGCTCGATACTCAGACTTCACACTAGATTGAGAAACCACACTTTGTTTCTTGTTTTTTCAAGAAATAAGATTTCTGCCAAGAAAGACAATAACTAGAATTGAACGCCTATCAGAAGATGATCTTGCCCAATCTGCATCTAAAACACCTGCAACTTTTGTGTACCCACAATCTGAATAGAGAATTTCCTTTCCTAGAGCTTTCTTCAGATTTCTGAGAATCCTTTTCACAACCTCTAAATGAATCGTCCTCGATGCTGAAAGAAACTGGATAACTACACTCACAGCAAATGTGATATCTGGCCTGGTTACTGTCAGGTAGTTTAACTTTTCCACTAACCTCTTATATACACCAGCATCCTCCAAAAGTTCCACTATCTAGTAGTAGCTTATTCTTCACATCCATCAGAGCGTTAACAGTTGTACATCTCAACATATCTGTCTCTGAAAACATGTCAAGAACATATTTCCTTTGTGATAAGAGAATGCCCTTTGTGGACCTGAAAACTTTAATACCCAAAAAGTACTTCAAGGAACCGAGGACCTTTATCTGGAAATGTTGCTCTAGGTGCTCCTTCAAGCTGTAATCCCCTCGTATCATCTTCTATGATCATAATATCATCTACATATACAACAAGAAGAATCCTCTTCCCTGCATGAGTCCACCAAAATACTGAGTGGTCTTTTTGTGCTCAACAAAAACCAAACTATTGAACTGCATATGTAAAATGCCCAAACCATGCCCTTGAGATTGCTGAAGCCATAAAGTGACTTCTTCAGCTTACACATCTTCCCATACTCCCTTTGAGCAACAAAACCTAGTGGTTACTCCATATAAACCTCGTCTTCAAGGACACCATTGAGAAAAGCATTATTGATGTCTAATTGATGAAAAGGTGAGTGTAATGTTGTAGCTAATGAGATAATAATCCATATAAAAGTCATTTTTTCAACATGAGAGAAGGTGTCAAGATAGTCAAGCCCATATACCTGAGAATACATTTTTGCGACTAATCTTGCCTTTAAGGGAGCAAGAGCCCCGTTAGGATTTAATTTGACAATGTAAACTTATTTGCAGCCAACAGTTTTTTTCCTGGAGAAAGAGTAACCAGATCTCAAATATCATTCTGCTCGAGAACTATCATCTCATCTTTCATCGCCTCAGTCCAACCTGGAATAGATAGAGCTTCTGACACTGACTTGGGAATGGAGTGAGAATCCAAAGAAGATACAAAAGACTGATATGAAGACGATAAGTGAGAGTATGAGACAAACTTAGAAATCAGATGTCGAGTGCAATATCTCGTACCCTTGCGAAGAGCAATAATGAGATCATCAGTGGTCGTGGCACTAGGTAACTGATCGGTAACAGTCTCACTAGATTGTAAGTCAGAACTTGATACCGAGTTTGACACTGGCACAGAAACTAGGGCATAGCAATATGTATAAACTTGAAGAGGCTTCTCAAATGCAAATGGTTCTAAGTCAAGTACTACATCAGAATCAGACTGACCACTGATGATCTGTGTCTCACGAATAATCAAGTAATCATAATCATCCTCAACAGTAGGAGAAGATGTATGTCAGACTCAAAGAAAGTGATATCTGCTAATAAAACATAGCGACCTAGAGATGCACAATAACATCTATAACTCTTTTGAGTGAGAGAATAACCAAGAAAAATACCTTTAAGGGGTCGCGAATCTAGCTTTGTTTTTTGAGGGCTATGATTATAAACAAAAACATAAGGATCGAAAAATTTTAGGTGGAAGAGAAAACATGTTATTATAAGGGTGTAAATTTTAGTATGGAATTTTATTGTCCAAAACTACAAAAGGCATGCGATTTATCTAGTAACATGCAGTCAAAATGGCATCCTCCCCAAAACTACAAAAGGAATTTTATTGTTTTTTGAGGGCACATTTTGAAGAGGGGTTGAAGATTGAAGCTAATTCCTATGCACCAGACTTGGAGATTTGCAACGCTTTTTTCAATGGTATAAAGCGCAAGCGTGTAGATGATGATTAGGTATGGTTAAAGTAATCCTAGATTGTTATGTCCTTGATCTTCTTTAGTTGATTTCATTGAGTTTATTAGATTTTCGTGTTGCAGATGATTGTCCAGTATTAATATTGATAATGCTACATGTAAGAGAAAAGAAAGTATTAAATTGGATTTTCGTATAAATATATGTATGTGGTTATTTTTTGGCTATTTGCACTCTATTACCCCTAAAGTTTTATCCTTTTTTTACGCCCTTAAAGTTCTATTTTGACAATTTAATACCCCAAAAATTCATTCTTTTGTAATTTTCATATCCTGAAGCTCTATTTTGACAATTTGATACTCCATGATTCAACCTTTTTTATTTTGATACTATGAAGTTCTATTTTGATAATATGTTACCCTAAAGTTTCATTCTTTCTTAATTTTGACATGCTAAAGTTCTACGTTGACAATTTGACACCCCAAAATTTCATCCTTTCATAATTTTGATACCTTGAAGTTCTATAATTTGATACTCCCAAATTTCAAATTGGCGATCCCAAAACCCCTAACTTTGTTCCTCACTTTCTCTAATCTAAAATACTGAAATATGATAAGAAACTCTATTTCTCATTCACTTTTCTATGTTGATGTTCTTGATTAAGATAATGTCAACAATTTCGCAATTTGGGGTATCAACTTGTCAAAATAGAACTTCATGGTATCAAAATTAAAAATAGGTGGGCGCTTAAGTGCAAATAATGTTTATTATTCATGCATTTTGATGTGAAACCTATTGTGGAACCAAGAGGAATACTAATTATTTGATGATTGATCTTTCCACACAAATGTTATGATCTTTCAACTTGTCTTTCTTTTATAATATTGTTATTTCCTAATCCAAATTTGTATCCACTAATCCCGAAAGTGAGTATATTATTATCTTTTTCTAACTGGCATAGCATAAAGAACTTAAATTGTCGAAGATGTTTTTTATATAAATTGCATGGATATTTGGATTTACTGAAGTCCCAAAATAAATTTATTCTGTTTACGAATTTACCATGAGAAAAAGGTAGAAATGGGTCTTTTTTGCATAACAAAGTCATCACAGATGCAATAGAGAAAAAAATGCTATTGCAATTAAGGTAAATATATTGTTAAATTATATGCTGAAGTTGTTTGCGTAGATCCTATTTGTTAGAAGATGAAGCTTTAATCTTCAAGCAAGCAAGCAAATATTCACATTTTGTTCCCTGGTTTTCCTCATCTAGCAGCCATGGCTGCTAGAGATATGATATAAATGCAAAAGATTTTTGTTTTGAATATAAAACATGTCAAAACTATCATATATATATATATATATATATATATAGAGAGAGAGAGAGAAGAAAACTTGTGTCAACTTAAGTTGACATCCACCAAACTTCTTAACCATTAGATGTTTCCTAGGGATCCTTGCATGATATGAAGTGACTTTTTATATATATATGTGTGTGGATAGAAAGTTTGGTGAACAACTATTCCCTATCCACTTAAGTTGATAGGAGTCTTGCTCTATATATATAATATATATATATATATATATATATATATATTATATATATATATTATTATATATATATATAATATATATATATATATATATATATATATATATAAAGGAAATTAGATTTAAATATGAAATAATTCCCCAGAAGTTTGTGATAATAATCACTACACCTTTTCAGAAGACAGAAGTCCTTTCATTTGTAAGAAGCACTCATGTTCTGCAATAAAATATGGTCTTGCATCAGTGTAATATTTTAAAATATGATTTCATACTCAAAACTCATGTTCTGCAGTAAAATATGGTCTTGCGTCAGTGTAATATTTTAAAATATGATTTCATACTCAAAATAACAATCAAACGTATTCATATGATCAAAAACTTTATGTCGGAATTGGCAAAGACTTGAGGGTATGCAAATGATCCCAGTAAGTGTTCCAATCGCATCTTTTATGATATAACTCCACAGGCCAACAGCTAATAAGATAATTAATGGATCAGGACTGCAGTGGAATGCATGTGTATGTGCATAAACAAGGAAAGTTCTAATGTAAAATAAGATACTGCACAACCTTTTATGGACTTCTTCTGTTTGTCCTTTAATGCTCTGAAAAGCGCCAGAGAGAAATCTGCCATGGCTTCATTACCCGAGAAGCTCATGACTTTGCTGAGAGGAAGAGCAATGCGAGGTAGTCCCTTAGACTTCTGAGCTATTAGCTTTGCATGGATGCCATCTGAATTGACAGACAAGTTAGACATTATTTATTATTGTTAAGGACAGAAAAATATTCAAAACTAAAGAGGTATTGATTTGGCATTTTTAAGATCCAACCTGATAATTCACAAATCAAATAATGAGACATTTTGTAAATCACTTGAAGCTATGTTGCACGGGTATGGATGCGGATAAAGAATGAGACATTTGTAAGAGATAGGATATGGGGACTTGGCTATATAGTATATATACACATGTCGAATTAATAATTTATATGAGATCGATTGTTTTTTAATCAGATGTTTTGAGAACTGAAATCCCTATAACATTTTTCTAACAACTTTTATGTTTCTTTTATTGAATAGACTATAAATTGAAAAACCGCTCGTTTTGAACAAGATACAAAACGACCCTTTAAATCAAATTTATGGACTAGGTATGGGCTGAAACCCCACTAGAGTCCAACAAGTTGCAAAAATTTGAGGTGAAGTATAAGATATACATCCAAGAAGTGTATTACGAGTGTTTGAAACTAAAACATGCATTATATAATTGTTGAGTACACGTCTGACAAATGCATGCATTTATTCAAGAACTTTATAAGGAGTGGCAGACAAAGACATGGATAGGGTAAGTGTCAAACAAGGATACAGAAGGTGTCCAGGTAACTTAGACTTGAAGTAAAGCGCGCACACATATTGCATGTACAAAGGCATGGGTTCATCATCATCATTTAAGCATTTCCCCAACAAAGTGGGATCTGCAATGGAGAACATGCTAAAATTGAGAAATTCTTTTTGAGAAAGCTCCTTGAAGAATCGAATGACTATATCTAGACTATCTATTAATCTCGCTATGCCCACCCAAAAGGTTGCCAAATTTCTGATGGTGGAAATCATGAAGAAGAAAGGGGATTGCCCTTCATGCAATAACAACTTCATCCGGAGTAAGAACAATTCTGGAAAAAGGAAATAAAAATAATTCTGCCAAAGGAAAGAAGCAATAACCTTTGATAAAAAAATGACAAGCATCTACGGGCATAATTATGAGTTGGATAGTTTAGAGCACATCACCAAGAAAACAGTAGACAAATAAATAAGAAGAAAAGGTGGAAATAATGTCATCTTAGGGAATAACTAAAGGTTCAACCAAATAGTTTATGGTTATTACAGAAGAGAGGGTGGACACAGAACTAATAAATATGGCATGCAATGTAAAAGGGAGTAGATGAAACTCAATATATAACACGCGAGTTGATATGCATTTCAATTTGCAAGCACACTGGTCCACATAAGACATGACATCCATGTTCCAAATCTTCAGCGCAAATCCAATTCATGTAATATGTGAATGGAGCTGCTTATTTAAAAGGTAATTTTCAGGCTTTTCTGGGTCACACTTCAAATGTATATTGAGTATAAGATAAGGATGGAAGTTCTAGACACTAGATAAGATAAACTCAAAAAGAAGCTTATTCATAATGTATGTGGTAGATTTCACAACATAGTCTATCCTATAAGCATTGATAATCTAGCATTTATGAAAATATTATTTGACTATGAATACAAAATGCATAGTATGAACATATAAATAAAAGTAAATGAAGACTTCAGTTAACCCACCAGAGTGAATAGGCAAAACCTGTGGAGGATTCGAGGTCAGTTTCACATTCCCCAATGACAATGATGCTATGAGATAATCAAGAAATTCAGACCATGATCCACCAAATCCAATGTCATATCTCTGCATTGACATATCTAATGAACATCAGGTACACCGCACAAACTTAAGAAGAGAGACTTTCACCAGGATGCTAATTTCTTCAATAGATGGAAGATTGCTTATCAGTAAATAAAGTGATAAAACTTCATGAAAATGGCATAACTATAAGAAGGAAAAAGTAACAGAATCAGACTTTTCTCATTTCTGAAAAAGTTATGCTTGGAATGCGTTGATACCCTGCAATAGTACATCAAACAGAAATCAAGAGTAGAAGTACAGGATTGTCAATGAAACGTTCTAATAGGATATTTCTGAGGGTGCCAGATGCAAATATCAAATTGTGACGTTTCACAGTTTAGTAGCATCTGAAATACATTTCTTGCACATTTTTCTCCCTCTGCAAGATTCAAAGCTTTTCATTATTAATGTGATATCCAGACCGTGTTAAAGAGAAGAAACTCAAAGCTCTATCAAGGTTGTAGAAAGCAGAAAGCAGAGCGAGGAAGAAGGCTTTTTGGAGCTTAAGCAGGCAAATGTGCTAAGAATTTTTTTCCCCTTTTTAAATAGGGTCAAATTTTAAAACGATTAAGAAAAGGCCAGGAAAAAAATCTGAAAAGTTTGGATAAAAAATTTCGACAAATGCATATGTGATGTTTATAGAGATCCCAAGCATGAACTAGATGTGTAATAATACTTAGAATCAATAATGTGCTAAACTAACATGTAGTTGACTACATACGTCTAATAGTTAACCAGTACGATTAATGCATATTATCAAAGGGAAGGATTTTTCTAGCTGCTTTTGGATTTCGAAACCGTCCCCTGGCGGCTTTTTGGCGGGCTTTTTCAAGTGAAAAACACCTAAGGCCCAAAATGTTGAAGCGGCCGCTAAAAACCGGCAGCTTTTTACAACACTGAGCTCTATAAAATCATATCAAATCGTCCATATCGACCAAATGGACCCCAATGCACCATCATGCTTCTATGGAACTAGCATTTATACCCACATCACCACCTAGCCTAAAAATGAGGTTGCTTCTGATTCCCTTAAGCACACCATCCGGCACTATCATCCGATAATAATCTACAGCTTAAAGTTTGTGTAGCTCTAATCAAAAGCAAACAAGAGACAAAGACAAACTCAAAACTAATTTGCGTCCTTAATTTAAAATTCTACCTAAACCCGTATAAAGATCAAATCTTTAATGCCTCTAAAGCACTTGAATCAAGAGAATTCAGAAAACAGTTCAAAAATCACTGACCATTTGGTCGAGGTCAAAGACGGTGAACATTTGGTTGAAGGTGTGAGAAAGGAAGTCCGAGACGACGATCTCGAGGTGAATGGAGTCGAGGGCGTGAACGTAGAAGAGAACAGGCCGGCTGAGTACTTCGGATTTGGATTTGGCTTCGGCATCGGATTCGGGCTCGGCCTCTCCGAAAATGGGCTCCAGGTTCTCGAAGCCCTTCTCCCCCGACATTGCACCGCAGTATCGGAGATGCTGCAACCCTAATTTTAATGGGGGGTTATTGGTAGGGATTTTTTTATTTTTTTAATTTGAACACGGAGTTTTTGTAGGACTTAAAAGATTGTGTGATCGGTTTAGAATCAGGATTCGTATTTTAGATTTAAATGGACAAATATTTGAAAACAACCCTTTTGAAAAATTAATGAGCAAAATGCATCTTCTCTTATTTTGCCTAGCAAAATTGACCATTTTATCCCGACCAAGACGGTCGATCTTGTTGTCGGTGTTTTTTTAACTACACGCGACTTCTAGTGTCGTATAGTTAGGGCATGGCTAATCTATGATTAGTCATGCCAACCAAATGGACGAGACTAGTAGTCCCGTATATTAGTATATTTAAGTACTTTAGCCCTCGTGACCCTCCCCTCCCCTCTTTCCTTACCTCAATTAGTCCACGACTGTTCTTGAGATCTCGCGACCCCGTCACCACAGATCTCGCGACCCCGCCGACCACGCTCACCCCAGACCGCGCTCGCGACGACAGGCGCCTCCGACCACGCTCGCGACCACCACTGTCTCTAGCCATATCAAACTCCAATCAAGGTGAAAATTTTTGGTATTTTCTTGTGAATTTGATAATTGATATGGATGTATCGGGCTAGGGTTAAATTTTGATATGAATGATATAGTTTTTGATTTAGGGTTTAATTATAATTGGGATATGAAATTTATGGTGTGAATTGTAATTTTTTGTGAGAATTTTGATGAATGATATGGATTGACTAGGGTTTATGATTTTGGATATGAAAATTTTTACTTTTTATTTTGTGAAATATGATGAATAATGTGATTTGGAAGTTAAGGTTTAACCATTATTTGCTTTTCAATTGAGATTAGGGTTTTAAATTTGATTTTTAATTGAGATTAATATTTTCAGTTATAATAGATTATTTACATATGATGGACTGTTGATTTTCAGTTTCGATGGCGAACTCCATACCCATTATTTGCTTCTTTAATGAGAGCCTCAGCGTCGGAGTGAATAGTATGCCTATGAATGAGGGAGGTTTTAGGAAAATGTTTATGCTATCTAAGTCATGTAATTTTGATGGAATGATGAAGGAAATACATAGAATTACTAAAATTAATAAAGAAGAATATTCAAGTAAGGTGTTCTTTAACTGTCTGATAAATGAGAATAGAACAATTGTTGTGGAGATCACCGACGATGAGGAGTTGAATAATATGAAACAATTAGTCGAGAAGCAAGTGTCAATTGAGTTATTCATTGAGAAGTATCTGATTCTCGAATTTGCCCCAAGTTTCGAGACCTCAAGGAGAGTTATCCCGCATGCTTGACTTAGACAATGAATCGAGTGGTTTTATGACATCTCCAAGTCAAGAGCCATAGCCTCAAGTACAACATTAAGCATGCATTCTCTTAGTGGGACGTCAAGTACTATATTTAACGACGCTTCGAGCCATGTTACGAGTGACTTACCAGCCGAATCAATTATAGAAGAAGAAGCAAATGATGACTCAAAATATATTGAAGAAGATGGCATGCAAATTGATAGCATGCATGTGGCTACTGGAATCGATGATGACTCACGTTGGATGGATCAATTTTATGTTAACAATGATTATGTGGAAGCTGAAGATCCGTTGCCCGACAAGTTTCATAATGAGGATTGGATAAATACTTCTCAAGCTGAATTTATTGATGTTGGTCTAACTTTTCAACAGCTTGAGGACTTCACTTTTAAAAGGGGGATCTATTCGAGAACAAGGTGGAATTGATCTTTGCAATCAGAGAATGGTCCCTCAAGAATCGGGTCAAATTCAAGCCGGTAAAAACTAATACAACAAACCACCAAGTAAAATGTTACTTTAACGAGAAGATTGAAGTAGAGCAAGCAAGTGAGCAGGATGAGAGAAACACGAAATGTCCTTGGTTGCTAAATGCACCTATGAGAAAATCATCAAATGGGAAATTTGTAATATATAGATACTGCAGACTTTATACATGTTGCAATCAGTCGGTGGATGTCGATCATTACTCTGCATCTTCATCTTATATATGTAAGCTAATTATGCCTGAAGTGAGGGCTGAACTTGATCTAAATGTAGGTCAGATATTTTAAAGGGTATATGTGACGCCCCTATTTTCACACATGGCTGCAGTCTAAGGTGAACCCAGAGATGTCAAACCTACCATGCATCCACAATGTACAATAACACGTTTCACCATTCATAGTAATATCCTCTAGTGAAATCAAAAGAAGTGTAGGTACAAAACATGCAAAATAAAGAAATGAACATAATGGACATGATATGGAAAGTGATATCTCATAAATAAAAATCATGCCTCAACTGAAATACATCTGATATATGGAATAAAGAAAATGTCTCAACATGAATCAACTAGAAATCATACTAAGGCACACTGCCTTTACAAAACGAAAAAAAAACTCTAAAGTCTGAATGAAATCATAGAAAAATCTATTGTGGAGCTTCAACTAATAACTCATGTGACGGCGAGAATGTTCTATAGGCTAAACGCATACTTTAACAAAAGGCGTGATGATGGCGTAGACTGGACAACATGTGATGGAGTCTCATCTAAGGCTAAACGCATATAAAATTCTAAATATCCGAAAAAAATATCAACTGTGATGGAGTCTCATCTACTAAAAACATGTGATGGCGACTATGCTGGAAGTTCGTCATCCTACGGCTCTCCAGAACTCTGAGCTGCTGCCTGAAAAAATTAGAAAAAAAAACAACAAGAGCGTCAGAACGATACAGCAAGATCATCTCCATCCGTCCCCGGAGAAGGGCTACTAGATGTGATGGAGGCTCTATCTATTAAGCATAGTCTACCTAGATCATTTATCACGTATCTAAATAGAATTAATATTTAGAAACCTACAACACGGGACGTAGTACGTCGAGCGAAATAATCCAAACAAGAAAACCCTCATGTATATACCATATGTCTCAAATTGTAGATAAGTAAATATCAATACCGAGCTAAGAGTAAACAATCTAAATAGAATTAATGATTAGAAACTCACAACACAAAACCGGTACGTCGAGCAAAATAATCCAAACAAGAAAACCTTCATGTATATATCATATGTCTCAAATTGTGAATCGCTAATTATCAATTCCAAACTAGGAATAAAGGAGAGCAATACAAGGAAGTAAAAGTCATCACAAATATCAGACCAAAAATATCTTCCACTATCCTTTGGAAGATAATGTAAACAACTGCATATAATCTCGCATACTTACAAGAGTAAAGTACATCGGTCATATATAACTCAGTGATGAGTCATGTTCATAATGGTGTCCACCAATACTCAGGCTATCAGATAATTATCACAATGCAAATCCTTGTAAAGTTTATAATTCATCGCATTATCATGCGGGACGGACTACCAAATCGGCATTTTAATAGTGTACACGGCTCATTAGTCTTATCGTATCAACGTGCGAGACAGACTCCCAAATCAAGGCATCCTAGGTATACAGCTCACAAGCCTCATCGCATCTACATGCAAGATGGACAACTAGATTAAGCATCCTAAAACTTGACTCAATGGCCTGTACTAATGGTATATCGAGGCATTATCCCAAGTAGTACTGAGCAGTGCTCATCAACGGTATCCATACATGCATATAATGTTTAAATAACTCATATCTCCCATGTAATCGAAACAATAACTGTATTAATCCTCTTTGGGATACCCATGTGTGTGCTACGACACTATATGTGACACCCCTATTTTCACACATGACTGCAGTCCAAGGTGAATCCAGAGATGTTAAACCTGCCATTCACCCATACCGTGTAATAACACGTTTCACCAATCATAGTAATAGCCTCTAGTGGAATCAAATATAAGTGTACGTACAAAGCAGGCAAAATAAGGAAATAAAAACAATAGACGTGATATAGAAAGGGATATCTCATAAATAAAAATCATGTCTCAACTGAAATACATCTGATATCTGCAATAATGAAAATGTCTCAATATGAATCAGCTAAAAATCGTACTAAGGAACATTGCCTTTACAATATGCAAACAAAACTCTAATATCTGAATGAGAACATAAAACTATAGTGGAGCCTTAACTACTAAAATGCGCGACGGTGACTATGCTAGAACTCCATCATCCTGCGGCTCTCCGAAACTATGAGCTACTTGAAAAGAAAATTTAAAACAAAAAGAACAACAAGAAGAGCATCAGAGTGCTACAGCAAGATCACATCCATTCTCCCCCATGGGAAGGGCTGCTAGATAAAGTGGAGGCTCTATCTATTAAGCATAGTCTACCTAGATCATTTTTCCCATATCTAATAGAATTAATATTTAGACACTTATAATGCGAGACATAATACATCGAGAAAAATAATCCTAACAAAGAAACCCTCATGTATATACCATATGTCTCAAATTATAGATACCTAAATATTAACACTAAACTAGAGATAAACAATCTAAATGAAATCAATAATTAGAGACCTACAACACGAGACTAGTACATCGAGAAAAAAAATCCAAACAAGGAAACCCTCATGTATATACCATATGTCTCAAATTGTGAATCGCTAATCATTGATCTCAACTTAAGAATAAAATAAAGTAATACATAAAGTAAAGACATTTATAATATTGTATTTATAATATCTTCTACTGTCACTAGGAAGATAAGATAAATATCAGCATATAATCCTGTGTACTTTCAAGCACAAAGTACATCATCATATATCTCAGCAATGAGTCATATACATAACTGGCATCTGCCAAAGACTCAGGCTATCAATAATCGTCTTAATACAAATCCTTGCAAAATTCTGATTCGTCGTATTATCATGTGGGACGGACTACTCGGTCGGTATCCTAAACAGTGTACACGGCTCATTAGTGTTGGCCTTCTTGCTTTGATGATGATTTAACAAACAATTTACATCTAATATTATTTGTCTAGTGTTTGTATTTTGTTATTTATTGTAGACAAATAATAAGTTGGAGGATGGATGGAATTGCGCATTCATGATCATATCCAATAGAGGTTGGAGGAATTGTGGAGTGAAGTCTTGCAATTCAAGTTGAAGATCCAAGTTCAAGCTTCA